AGCGCCGGGGTGAGCGGGCTCCCTCCGAACTCCCAGGTTTTAACAGCGTGGCTCAGCTCACAGCCGCCAGCCTGCCCCAACATCCGGGCGGGAATTCTTGTTCAGCCTCGGCCAGACGGTCCCAGAAACAGCGCGGAAAGGAAGAAACGCTCATCTCCCACCCCGCTGGGTGCACAGAGAGCAGAAGTGAAACAAGGCCCTAAAAAAGGAAACCCCGCTGCTGTTTCCTCCTGCACGGATGCTGCTGCAGGCCAGGACACGCAGGGAGGGAGAGGGCAGACGGCAAGGAGCCGCTGGGCGGCAACCCCTTTCCAAAGTCGCGGGAAGAGCACGAAGCAGTACTTGGCCTCTCAGGGAGGAGTAAAGGGACCGGCGGCCCCAACTGCCCCCTCCCCAAATGCCACCGCTGACATCGCTCCGGGCCTTTGTCGCTGCTTTGCCCGCACTCCTGCTGCACCGCGATATCGCGGCCCCAAATACTGCAGGGAAGGATTTATGCCTTTGCTTAACTGAACTGTTTCCACTGGAATAAAATAATAAATAATGCCAAGTTCAAATCACCAAAACAGAATAGGTCAAGGAGCTTTTCCCAGAGGTGCATTTGGAGCCAAAACTAAACCGTGTTTCCAGGTAAGAAACAGCATCTTCAGGCTGCTGACTTTCAAAAACTACAACTCTCACTTTCAAGAGACACGAAATGAATACGAAGAATCGTTACACATGAGGAAGGACCTAAACATTCATCATTTGCCAGGCGAGTTGCCCAAGAAGCACATTTTTAAGATCTTGGACTTATAAAAGAGCTAGCAAACAAACAAACAAAAAAAAAACCCACCGACTTGGGGAAGCGGAGGGGAAGGAAGAGCATCCTCCACCCTGGAGCCAGGAGGTGGCAAAGCAAAGCGCAAAGCCCCACGCAGAGAGCGCAGGGCTCAGCAACAAGAGGCGCCCGCGGCACAGCCCCTCGGGCAGAGCCCGGCGCGGGGCCCCGGGCCCGGCTGGGCGAGGGGAGGACGCAAAGCGATGCCGTTAGCTCGCCCCCTCTGCCGTCCCCGCCCGCGGGCC